AATCTCTTACCGACGAAATTGCAAGCTAGGAAAGTACAGGCGGGAAAATTAAGGAGCTAGCTAGGGTTAGGGTTTGTTCGGCTCCTTCAGAATCATTTCTTTGGTTTCGGTTGCTCTTTCAGGAGATTCAGGTACATTGAATTTGTTATTATGTTTTTTGTTAGGATTTCAAATGCTTATGTTTATGACTCAGAACCTAAATGTGGAAACTTTCTGGATATTTGAATTTGCGGATGCTGAATAGGGGAAGTTTAAACCTTCAAAATCAATCGTAGAAGATGACATATTTTTATTCGTTAGTTTTAAAGAAATATTTCAAATTAGAAAATATTTGTCAATTTTTGGATGGTAGCCTTGGTTGGTAGGACATTCGAGAAAGCAACAAAGCTTGATAAATCCTCACGTCGAAATGATTAGCTATTTTAATGGATGGTTAAAGTAAAAAACCAATTGGCATGTGGTTGATGAATTACTGAGAGAAAAAATGGTAGGTTCTTTATGCATGTGCCGATGAAAATGTTGATGAAGGTTTTTTTTCGGGTGCGAGTTTGTTTTCTGACACGTATAAACTTGGTTAAATGAGTTTATAAGTTAAAGCCCAGTTGCTGAAGTGTGCCAAATTGGGGATTAAATTTTTTATTACCAAAGTATTTGTTTACTTTTTTAGAAAAACTTTCAAGAAAAAAAAAATCACCAGTTTTTCGTTCCGAGTATGCAGCTGTGAAGAGTAACTTGACACTGAGCTGCGTGTGACAGTTTCTTCAAGTAGAAGAAAATCATTGGACAACATGGACCAAGATGTGAAAAAGAAGTTGAAGGGATTGGATGGAACTGCAGTGCCAGTTGGGTACGACAGTCTCAAGGATACCGGGCACCCAGTCCTTGAGGCATCAAAAAGGTACTTCCTTTTTATTTTATTTTATACATATATACTTTTTAGATTATGCACCAGGCAGCAGCTTCCAGTAAGTTTTATGATGTTGTCTCTGGATGTAGCCAATCTAAATTTTGATTCTATGACCATGTGCAGTTTGGAACAAAATATTGATGGTTTGACAGATGGCAGTGATGGCAACACTAAAGTAAGAATTTCCTTTCATTATGTCTGCTCATATGTGATGGATTTTGGCCCTTTGTTGTATGTGATGGTGAGATGATATTTATGCATGAAGTTAAAGTAATCTTGGATTTCATCTATTAGGAAGACAACCACCACACTCAAAGGAACAATGGGTCTGGAAGCATGCGATTTGCTGGTATGGTACCTATTTCTCATTAGATACTTTGCGTTTGTAGTGTGGGAATTTTTAATCAGGATGTCTAAGTTTCGTTGTGGGAGGGAACAATTTTGTGGCTTGTTTTTGTTGCCCATACCTCATCTGTCAATTTTGTAAAGAAAAGGGGATAGTTTCTGACTTACTTGAATGAAGGATGACGAATTCTGTAATGGTCCTAAATTGGGACATGCAACCCTAACCAAATGCTTCATCCTGACTGATTTGTTTTCTTATTCTTCTGGGCAACAGATAATGATGTGAAAGTCCATACTCAGGTCAGGCCTACAACTAATGGGGAAGTGAATGAGAATTCCACAAATGCTTCTGGTACAGGACCTCCTGCTGGTTTTTTGGGAGTATCTCTTCGTTCCCCATATGAGAAAATAGGAATTAGCACAGCTTTTGTCACTCCTTCCACTGGTGCAGGGTTGCCTTTTGATGCAATGGTTCTGGTAAGGAAATGTTTACTTTTTTTTTTGTTGTTGGTACTACTTATTTGTTTGCAAGCTTTTGCCTTTGTACCTCAATTTGTATTCAAGTTGGGATAGTTGTTTAAAAGAATTGCGGCCTTTGATACTTTTCTATTTTTTTGTTTTGAACAACACTCAGTTACTGGTTTGAATTGAAACCATGGGATTGATGAAAGATTACGGATTTGGAATTTCCTCAAATTTTGTGAGCCAGAGTTAGCTGTGAAACAGAGCCCATCTTGAGACTCTGCAGGGCAGTTATTTGCTGAAACATTGTTATATTCTTGACTTTGGTGTAATTTTGAGTTTGGGATCATCTTGGATGCACCAAATTCTAAGATAACTCATAGAAGTAGTATGCTATATTCACACTATTCATTACACATGTTGATTTCCTCAGGATGAAAGGCAGGTCAAACGAGAGAAAAGGAAGCAGGCTAACAGAGAATCTGCAAGGAGATCTAGGTTGAGGAAGCAGGCTGAATATGAGGAACTGGTGAGGACATTTGAATCGTTAAACACGGAGAAAATGGCCCTTAAATCTAAACTAGAAGAACTGAAAGGGGATTCAGAGAGATTGAGGCTTGAAAATGCCACATTAATGGTAACTTCCTCATAGAACTTAGTTACCAATGCTTGAGCTGTTGAAGTTTATGTTTTCAAGAATTTTTTATGCGTATGCAAGTTGCCATTTTTTCTTTCCCGCCATTTTCATTGTTAGTTTTTCTTTGTACATGGATTCTTAAAAGTCAAAAATAAAAAAACTATGCCAAAAGAACCAGTCTTCTAGGTTGTTCTCTCTGCAAAAGTGACTCATGGTGCAGATACATATGAATGGGTAGCATTCCCAGTCCCAGCCCATGGCTGGGGTCAGATGGGTGGGCTTTAGGTTAGTCGAAGCCTTTGCATATGCTTATGCACCACCAATGGTGACCCAACTGGTAAAACTCCATGCATATTTTTCCCAAGAAACCAGAGGCAGTTGAACAAGTATGTTCAGAGGGAGATCTCAATTTCTTATACCCACCCAGCATATTCTTAGAGTAACCCATGCATCTACATACTGAATTATCACGTTTAGTTGCTTTTGGTTGCCAAAAATTGACCAAATGTCAGAATTTATGATGCAGTCAGGATGTGTAGTGTTGAAATGAGTTTTGTTCAGATATGTTTGTAGCACGTCCAACTGAGTTAAGTTGACCATGGAAAATCAAGGAAAGCTGATTTGGCCGATCTGCTTGTTTCAACCTAAGCTGTATGTGCATTCACTTGTAGCTTGATCTAACATGAGTTTTATCTTGTAGGAGAAGCTGAAACATGCACAGGTAGTGCCGAAAGGAGGGATTGCTTCAGTTGAGATTGAAGTAGACTTGGACCTGCCAACTGGTACCGAGAACATACTTAGCAATTTGGGTTCTGTAAGCATGAATGCTCAGCTGGATTGTGAGGCACATGAAAGTTCTATGTCTGAAACTAAGCTCCATGCTGTTGCTGCTAGATGATCAAGAAGCTGGTGTTATCAGCAGCCGTACATCACACTTGCCCCAATTTTTTTATTTGTGGCAGACAGGAAATTCCTAGTTGAAGAGGGACAAAAACAGCAGTTGCTAATTTATTTTTCCCTTAGCATTCAAGTCTCTTTTTCTGCTATGAACTGTCATCTATTAGATTTTAGATTGCCCTGTCAATTTTGGCAGTACTTTAGGATAGGCTAAACAGTGTTTTCATATGAATATGAACATTGCAAAGGATAGGTCTGGAAGTAAATGATTTGTAAGTGTTATTGCAGACTTCCTGGTTTTGTGAAATTATTGGAAGCCGATATACAATTTGATCTGTTCTCCTCTTAATGATGTAACTAATTAGGTATCGATTTGATCCTTGTTCAATAAATTCGACCCGGTTCATGAATCAACAAGTATCTTAAATCTATGCTGTATGTAATTCACATTACTCCTACATCAGTAAATATTGATTTCATCATAGTACTGAGTTAACATAACATTAGTCAGCAAAGAAGCTTCTGAATTGTTTTAACGTGAAGCTACAAATAAAATCCTCTTTGTTTTGTTGAAAGATATGATGGTAGGTGGAAAGTGCAAGTCAAAAGAGGAAGTTAAAGCAAAGCCACCAAATAGCGTGAAAAAGGCTTTGTAAAAGAAGACTTTTCATTGCGAAGAGTTTGGACCATGTCCAATACTGAAAACTTTCTATGATGAACTTTTGGATTTTACCTATTTCTGGGCCTCTTCTTTGTGGGGTCCAGTTGAGTTTCTCTTTTTTGGGTGCTGTCTTGATCCTCATGTATATCCGTAATAGTTCAGTATACATACGTGTATGTATCCATCAAAAGGTACTCCTCCCTTAGGAAGAAGGTGTCTTTTGCTTGCGATAATACAACAATAAACTATTTGACTCGGCATTGTTCGCAAAGATGAGGCTCAGAAATCTCAAGGATAACATTCTTTATTGAATTTTCAACTGTAAAGAAAAAAGTTGCTTCAAATATGTCTTCATCACTGGCCTTCCTTTTCTTCATCAGTAATGTCAAACGCCGGCAAAACTACGTGCATGTTGATGCCGTGCTACCGGTCCATTCAAAATATAATAGACGCACAATTATTCGTTTGTAACCTCTAACTCTTAGAATATATATTATGATTAGTATCAACGTATAACATTGTATTGTATTAACATGCACATGGTGTTACCGTCTCACTCAATAACTTCTCGTTCATGCTTTTGACATTGTCTTATTTGACTATTTATCCTTTTGCCTCTACAGGTATCACATACGCTGGGGCAGCTGTAAAAATAAGGAATCTTTTTGGGTCAAAACTTTAAATTGCACTTCTCTCTCTGATTTCTTTTTTTAAATGGGTAGTTAATTCAGTTAATCAGAGGGTCGCATGTTCATACTTGTCTATATCACGTGTGGAAACCAGCACAGATTTAATCATGTTTAGCTGGTTGCTATGTCCTATACGAACATGTAAATACATATATATTAACTTCAATTTTAAAACTTGTAAATGCAAGTGGTAGTAATTTATTCTTAGTCATGACCAGTAAGCTTCCTAGATATGCATAAAGGACTTTAAACTCTTTGTATATCTGACCCTTCAATCCTTGTTAATCAACCCAACAAGGTCGTATTCAAATCTGTATAGATACATAGTCATCTTTCCCCATAAAGTTGTTTACTTTAGACCTCAGTTCTTCTTATGTCATTGCTTCCAATTTTTCTTCCTCTTTGTTAGACAAAATTATTCCCATCATCCGCATAAATAAAAAAAACTGTTCCTATCGTAAATGCTTTTTGTTTGTGGTTCCAAACCGCCATTGTGGGATTTTATGACTGTTTGGTCCAATTTTGAATCTTAGAAGTTTGGCCATTTGGGTAACTGCTGCTTTGGAATTGGGTTTTGTCCTGCTTTTCTTTTGCAAAATTTGGATCTGTATAACAGCAAAAGTTGGGTGTCCTTTTTTAAGAGGGGTTGCAGATATCTCGAGTCTGTATTTGTTGGTGTGGTTAAGAGGATCTGTAATGCACAGTGAGAAGTTTGGCGGTGAAAGAAACCAAGGTAGATAAATTGGTAGTTGGGACTTTGGTTTTCAGTTCACAGGAATATTGATTTGTCACAGGAAAGGTTCATGTGAAAGTTGAGATTCTCAACTGCTTGATTGAATGATTTGCTGACCTTTTCTCTCTTAAGTGTTGGGAGAAGTCATTTCCAGCCTTGAGGTCTTGTTTTGGTTTGTTGAGAGAGAGAGAGAGAGAGAGAGAGAGAGAGGTTCCTCCGTCTTCTTATTTATTCAATTGATGTTCTTACTGTGTTCTTGAAATGAATCATTCTGGAGCAACCAGTGATCAGAGAGCAGCAGTTGAAGTCTCAAAGGACAAGAGTGGAATTGACCAAGTTCTGCTTCATAACCCTCGAGGAGCTTCCGTTCAGGTTAGATTCTTTTACCTCTCTATTTCCATTGTTTAACAGATGCCCTCCAAGCTGCTTGAACTTTACTTGCATTTTGATGTCATTATGTGAATTCAATACAGGTTAGCTTGCACGGAGGCCAGGTTCTTTCCTGGAAGACTGAACGTGGTGAAGAACTGTTATTCATTAGTAGCAAGGTAAAAAATTCATCATAGTTTTTATCCTTTTCATTTTATTTATTTATTGTGCTTCTTTTTTGTGTCCTAGCTGTTGTAGAACCATTCTGCAGTAGATAGTTCTACCATTAACAATTCCTAAATGACCATATAAATCATGAACAAATGGGAAATTTGTAAATTGATTTCCCTTTTGCTGATATTTCTGGATCAAATTAATATGGTGTAATGGACAAATATGCAGGCAATCTTTAAGCCACCAAAAGCAGTGCGAGGAGGAATTCCAATCTGTTTTCCACAGGTAATATTTATACAGAACCACAGATGTATATTATAAAGGACCTTGGTTAATTCTGGCTGATTGGTTTGCTTGCTCCAACATGTATGTACTTTAGGTTGGAAATGGATCATTGGAGCAAAACGGGTTTGCCAGGAACAGGATTTGGGTCATTGACAATGATCCTCCACCTCTACATCCCAGTGATTCTAATGGCAAAGCCTACATCGACTTGCTGCTCAAACCATCCGAAGAAGATCTGAAGATTTGGCCACATAGGTAGCAGCATGAATTGTGAAAAATGTATCATAGCATGTTTTATGAACATCAAATATTTGTTTGTGAAATAATGTTTGGACCATGTTTTGCAGTTTCGAGTTTCGTCTTAGAGTGTCACTGGCAGCAGAAGGGTATCTGACCCTGATATCGCGTATCAGGAACATCAATTGCAAGCCCTTCAGTTTTTCATTTGCGTATCATCCATATTTCTCCATTTCTGATATCAGGTACAGAATGTTCAAATTGCAAATGGAATTTGCTATTCTTATAATTAAGCATAATCTGTGGAAGTCAGCAACAGCTATGGTGCTAGTTATTGCCTTTTCTCCTTTCCTTTAAAATAGGCAGACCACAGTTTTGGCCTGCAGGCTTTTAAGGAGTGTGCTGGCCTCATGTTAACAATGATATACACAAATTTGGTTTCCATGTTTTGACTTTAAACATAAGAGTTTTCATATCCATGTATCTGGTTATAATCTTTGTCTACCTACTCAGTTATATGTTGTGTTCTTCTTATAATTAGAAATATTCCCTTTAAAATTTCACTAACAGAAAGAAAAAAGAGAAATTTGAATTATGATAACTAAGGAAGGACATTCAGCACTTTCCCTAAAGATATCCATGTCAAGTAGATCCCAAAACAAAAGCTTTACAGGTCACACGATGATTGCCATCAGCTCAATCAGAAAGGAGCAAGTAGTATCATATTTTTGGTTAGCAAGTAGTAGAGTGATGCTAAGTTTGACTAAGTTCTGAGCTTTAAATGAATATAATATGAACTGACAGCGAAGTGAGGATTGAGGGCTTGGAGACTCTTGACTACCTAGACAACCTATTTCAGAAGGAGCGCTTTACAGAACAAGGTGATGCCTTAACATTTGAATCTGAGGTAATCATGTTTTTCCAAAACCTTCTCAGCTTGTTAGTGGCCAAAATATGCTCCTTCTTATGAAGTGTTCATTTTTGGGCAGGTCGACCGGGCTTATCTTAGGTCTAAAGATGTGATAGCTGTTTTTGATCATGAAAAGAAGAGGACATTCGCCGTACGAAAGGAGGGACTTCCAGATGTTGGTAAGAATCGTGTGCTTAACCTCAGTTTCAGGAAATGCAACCAATAGCATGTTGGCTTCCACATGATCAAAACACTCTCATATGCTTTATAATCATCAGCAGGAGCTTACCATAAGAAGCCTTTACCCAAAAAAAAAAAAGAGGAAAAAAAAAAAGAGATCCTTACTTGAAGGAATTGATTGGAAGCTGAATTTAGTAAGCAGAGGATGAGTTATTTTTGTCAAATTTGGTAGTTGGGAACTAGGATCTTCTGAAAACCATAGGCTTAGGGGATCAGGCCATTAAGCCATAGAAAGTTTCTGTCTGAGATTGGTACTTTACATCCTTTTCCATGTCAAATGAAATACTTATATATCTAGCCATTTTGATTAAGTAATTAATCTTTGTGTTCTTCAACTTTACATGTACTCTCAGTTGTTTGGAATCCATGGGAGAAGAGATCCAAAGCCATAGTGGATCTTGGAGATGAAGAGTATAAACAGATGCTTTGTGTTAATGGAGCATCAATTGAGAAGCCAATCACCTTGAAGCCTGGTGAAGAATGGACTGGCAGATTGGAGCTCTCTGTTGTCCCTTCAAGTTAATGAATCGACTGGCAGATTGGAGCTCTCGATCCTGCCACGAGAGGCTTTCAAAGATCAAAGGCAAGCAAATAAAAATATACTAGAAGTATTAGGGTCAAAATGTGACTGTGCAATAAGGAAATCAATAAGAACATGATCACCTTTAATGTGGTTATGATTTTCATAACAGATTTTCCTTCAAAGGAGGTGGAGATATCTTTTTTTTCTCCTCCCCATCGTAGCTATACCCTAAAATGTAAATGGGTTATCTTTACTTATGAAACTTGTACACTGAATGCAGAGTCAGTAATAATTCTTTTTCTTTCTGCAAGTCCTGGCACAAACATTTGTTTTTCACCTTTATTTAATTTGCTAGAGACTAAAATAAGAACTAAATATTTTGCTGATCATGCATGAAACCCAAAATTTGAAGCAGAAGATATGGATCAACATGCAGCATCTGATCAACTGCATAATCTGTTCAGATGCTGCATATTGATCCCAAGGCTTTTGATCAAGTTTTAGTTTTAAATTTGGTATTCAGAACATATATACTAGAAGATTAATTTGTGGTGCATCCAGGATTGGATTTTCAAATCAACTTTGGTTTGATGCTCAAATGATCAAGTGGTTCCTGTGTTTATTATTACGCATCCATTCCCATCATTCCATTATGTTAATAATAATATATATGACTAATATTTTCCCAGCATATATAATATATGACTAATATTGTTTTATTCCAGCATCCATAATCATCCGTCGTCTGTGTGCTAATGTTTTATCCAACAGGACGTCGATTGCGGGTTATCGTTTTACGCCATTCCACATCATAAGTATTCAACGGGCTTATAGCATTGTCAGCAATATTACACAGATTGACACCCTTATACATTCTGACATAGCCTTTCTCGCCCCAGCCTTCTCCCCAGGAATTTTTTACTATCCAGTAGTCCTCATGATAATCTTCAGTCCTCCCATAGCCAACAATTAGAACAGCGTGTTTGTGTTTATATGGGTTATAGGCACAACCACCTCTAAGTATACCACCTTGGTATTCCTGAAATCCTGCACCGACTGAAATTACAACTGGGATGGGCTGCCAGGCCACAGCCTTGGCTAGATCGTATTCGTTGGGAGGCACTTTCCTATAACCAGTTATCTGACCAAGATGTTGGTCTGTCTTGCTGCTGTCACATGTTCCCTGCTTAGCGACATAGCCGTAATTTGCTTCACTGTTGAGTCCTCCATTTCGTATTACATAGTCAAAGGCGGCTTGTGTTGAACCACCCTTGCAGCCGTCGGCATTTCCACTGCAGTCCAAAATTTGCTGCTCGGACAGTGAAGTATTGATACCATAGTTCCAAGCCATACTCCCTTCCACTGCTGCCACAGCAGCAAACGCCCAACAAGAACCTACATATATATATATATTATACCCAAAAAAATGGTCAAAATAATATAGAAGAAAATTTATATGGATGGTATCTAATGTAATGCTTCTTTTACCACAATGCCCTTGATTTTTCACCGGAGTGACCAATTTTTCATCCCTCCAATCAATGCTTACGGGAGGAATATCTGCATAGTCGTCTTCAGCAAAATATGTAGAATCTACTCCAAATGATGAAATATATTTTGAGGGGTCGTCGTCATGGCATGAAGCATAAATTGACAAGAACTCTTCAGCTGTCATATCAGAAAACATATTAATGCCTTTCTTAAATGTACTTGTTTTCCCTTCTTGTTGCATGTTGAAAAGTTTAATGGACTCAAATCTGGTTCTAAAAATTCCAAATCGTCTCTCTTTTTCAGAATTATTCGGATATGTGCGTTCATGCTCTATCATCCACCTCTCGAATTCCTGTGAAATATTCACCGAGGTGATTTGTGACATACCTCTCTGAATATCTCCCAGTATCAAGATGATGAACCATAAAATAATCCAAGCCATTGCTTAGTTTTTCAACTGATCGATGTATTAATGTTAATTTTCTCTTTATACTGCATGGTATTTATAGACTTTTTCTTCTCATACTTCCAATTTTATTTTAAGGTGTTAGAAATCAAGCTTTAATTATTGGAGGATGACTTTTGATTAAGTTTACCTTGTGTGAGAACAAATATTTCGGCATTCAATAAGCAAATGACACGTGGAAAAAGTAATATTCCTTATGTTAACTAATTACCCTATTTAATTAGGGAATTATCTTTTATTTGAGATATAAATATCTCCCTAAATCAAGAATCTGATTTCCAGCAAATCTCTTTGGTTAATTCCTATAATCTTTTTTGGGTAAGGATAATCCTAATTAAATATAGATTATTTTTCAAACCCTAGCAAGCAAAGAGTCTATAAATAGATGGCTACACAACACATTCGAGGTAATTCAAAAACCCTAGAGAAATCATTTCTCTCTCTCTCTCTCTAGCCGCCCTTCTCATATCTCTTTCTCCTCACACAGCCACACACCACCACACGCGACTAAGGCCGTCTGGCTCTCCCCATGAGAGAAAACTTTAACCTTTACATTATCTCCTCATCTTTCTTAAGATTATTTAACTGACTTAGGCATCGGAGAGTCTTTGGCCAACATCCCCTGTGTGTGATCCGTTGATCTAAATTTGTCTTATAAGAACCGAGGAAGAAGAAAGAGAAGGAACCTCAAATGGTGGAAGAATCACACGCGAATATTCCCTCGTGTGGAAGTTTGCTCAAACATTTTGGTGCTTTCATTTAGAGCTTCGAAATATACTCAAAGCGTTGTTATCAAATTTAAGGAATTTGTTTCCTTCCGGTCATCACTCAACCAAAGCCTTCCAAACAACCATGGTTGGAAGCAAGTGCATAAGAAGCAAGACCGTCGTGACGAATCAATCCACAACGAATTCAAGCTTCCATGATGTCGCGGCATCAAGACAGCCACCAATTTCCCATGCCGAGGCCTCGACTCAACCTTTCAGCACCACGACAGCCATCACTGCTCCAGTCGCCACTGATGTCCTTCCTCTTGGCCCCATGGTCAAGAACGTTATTCTTGAGCTAGCCACTACGCCTCTTCGCAATCTCCTGGCCAGTATTACTATGCAACTACAAGGACTAGCCGCAGGTTCCAACAGCCACCACCCTTTAGGCTTCACTGCTGGATCCGAGGACTACTGCCATGAAGCGGCCGCGATGCACAACGGAACCTCCGACCTTGGCGCCTCAGCCGACTACGGCCCTATTATGGAACAAATACGTCAATTCCCTTCTTTGCCACCATGCATGACGTTTGCAACTCCCTAGCACACCTTCAACAAAACCCTAGCCCACGTGCAATGAGGCTTCATATAATTCTCTCCTTCTGATCCTAGCAGCCAAGCATACCTCAATCTTATAGTCAAACAGCTAACTCACAGAGTCGATGACCAAAACCAATTGGTTGGTCAACTCCTCATGCAGATTGATCTGATGTGCGACCTTGGGCTCGGATCCCATGGCGAAGAGAGAATGACGGAAGACAGGCAGGTTAAGTAGGTGCAAATTGGCAAGAAGAAGGACAAGAACGTGCTACCCAGCACACTGGCATGTCACAAGCATTCACAAGCTCCAGCCAAGGTAGAACAAGTCTCCGTTTGAGATTTGGTCTAAGGACCAATGTGCACGAAAGGTTGGGCCCACGATCCAATGTTCATGCATGCATGGACCTCCAAAGAAGTATTCACTCAAAGCTAGGCCTATAAGGAGATTAACCTCGCGATCCTCCTCATGAGGTACGTGAAGAAAGACAATCACCGGCCCGTACTAGAAGAGCTAAATCACGAGGACAAGCCATAGAAAATCTATCGCAAGATCTGTCCACCAATACACCGTGCAAGCATGACAGCTAAGAAGATCAACCCTTGTGAGTCAAAAGAGAGGTCGATCAGCGACGCTCGCATCATAGGAGACACCGACGTGAGCCGCAAGCCTTGTAAGTAAAGGACTTCAGCAGGCTAGTGAATGACCGACTTTGAGACTTGAAGGTTGGAAGAGACTTAGAGGATGCCTTGTGCTAGTAGATGGACCAAGTGAGCTTTTCTCCATTCTAATGAGATCAAGCAGGCGGTCATACTAAGGGGATTCACAATGCCCCGAGAGTCATCTGAAGCATTTCAAAAGTGTCACGATTCTCTACAAGTACGAGGATGCGCCGATGTGCAAGGTCTGTAGATTGATCAGTAGCTTCAAAGAGCTAGAACTCATCTTCACAAAGGAGTACATCTCTTACCTGACAATCAAGAAGCAGCCTGACCACCTATTCAACTTGCGCAAGAAGTATGATGAGTCTCTCTAAAACAATATCAAGAGGTTCAAGGCCGAAAAAGAAAATATTGTAGGATGCGATGATTGGATCACGTCCTCTGCTTTCAAGAAGAGCCTATCAGTAGAGCATGAACTATACCGCGAGCTGACCATCGCTCCCAGCCAGACTCTGGCAAAGGTCTTCTCAGCTGTAAAAAGCTACGCGCTTTGGGATGACAATCGGATCGCCACCAAAAAGTTTGCCAACCAAGCCGACCAACTGCCCAGGGAAGCGGGTTAGAGGAATGATAGATCCAGCAGCAGGACCATGGGGGAAAGCGCAAGTTGCAATCTCAAGAGAGTGCCCCAGCATATGAGAGCTACACTGAGTTCTCCATCTTGATGCATCAAATCTTGGCCGAAGTGAAAGACAAGCCCTGGCTGAGAAAACAACCATCATTGAAAGGAGATCCAACTAAGAGGGATACCAACATAGATTTTCTGCCATCACTTTTGCTACATATCAGAAAATCCGATACCCAATCCATGGGGGAGGTGTCAAGCAGATCAACAGCTATCAGGCGATGTCAAGAGTTGGTGAAGATCCTAATTATTGATTAAGTGCATCTATTAAATGATGATGGAGGCCCTTGTAATTGAGGCACTAGTTGCTTGATCTTTGCACCAGGTAAACTTTTACTGAATTATTAGTGATCTTGGCTTCTTTGTGCTGAATAACTAACCCACTATTTAAATTAGTTGAGAACATTTGTACAGTTGCAACTTATGCTCATGAAAGTTGGAAAGGTATTATCTGTTTCTTATTAGGGTTAATGTGATAGCGGGATGTTTATATTTAAAAATGTTTATCAGATGTCTGTTACAATTTACATGTTACTTATGTAGTTTATGATTGGTTGCAAAGAATTTAGTTGCTTATGACCTTTTGTTTACTTTTTTTTTGTTGTTTTTGGATATACGTACCTTTTCATAACCACCCAGGTTGCTACAGTTTCTGAGAGTGAATCCAGAAGCAGGACTCGCACAGCAATATATTGGTATTAGTGAGCAGAATTTTACAGCCCATATTGAATTGCAGAATGAGATATGCTACAAGAAGGTTTCTTTTTCCTTGGGCCCTCCTTTGTGTAACGTATGTATTAGAATGATTATTTAACTGATTGATACTTTTTTTCTGCCAGTTTGTTGAATCACTCAGGAAAGGTTATCAGGCAATGGTATTCGTTCCTTGAAAGACAATTTAAAGGATATGTTAAGATTACTTTTCCTTCTTCTTCTTGAAATTTTCTCTATGCAGAGGTGGCACTTGGTACTGTCACCAATGTCAAGGAAGCTTGTGAATGGCTTGGATATACGTACCTTTTCATAAGAATGAGGCTGAATCTGTATGGTATTGGGTGGGATGAGGTATTCTATGTTGATTTGACTTTACCTATATGGTTGATTGGTTGATCCTTCTTGAACATTTTCTTGACTAGCAGCCTGGCTTTATTCTAAGGAGGACATGATGTATAATTCATTTGTCTTTAATGGTGCTTATGTATATGATATTTGCTTTTTGCTTTTTGCTTGTTTCAGGTTATTGATATTTTCTTCTGCATTTTGCAGGTTGTTGCTGATCCTTCCTTGAGTTTAAAGCAAAGAGCTCTCATAGCAGATGCTGCACGTGCCGTTTTGATGAGAAAAGTGGCAACTTTTTGTACAGAGCTTGGTCGAATTGCAAGCCACTTTTATTTTCATTACTCAAGTGTTGAAACATAGAATGAAATGTCGAGACGCCACATGAATGAGACTGAGGTTATTGTTTTTGTGAACTATTTTATCTTAATTTTTTAATTTATTTTCCTGCCAGATACACCCCATTCCTTTCTCTCTTCTTTTTCTTTCTCCTCTCTCTTTTCTTGTTCTTCTTCTCTCTCCACCATTTTTCTTTTCTCTTTCTTTCATTTTGTCTTCTCTATTTGATTCTCTTTTGTTTTATTAAGTCTCTCTCTCTCTTCTTCTTTTATGTGTAGGCCGAATCACATAGGTGTCCAAAAAAAAATTAGCCTAACCCTGTGAAAAATCCTAGATCCACCAATGAAGATTTGTTTTATCAATAAACTTGTATATTAGGATATATAGAGTACTGTTTTGCCAATAAGGAAAGGCTAATAAATAAATAAATAAACCCAAGACGCAATGACACAGACAGACGGAGGGCCGAATAAAAAGACAATAATAAATAAATAAAATCCTAGCCCTAAAATTGCCACCAAGAGAGACGCGCCGCCGCCGTGAGCTTAAAGAAACGCTCGCTTGGTGGAGTTGAAAAGCCTAATGACAACAGATCTTAATTGGATGGTGAGGAAAAACAGACAAATGAAAACAAGCAGAAAAATATTAAACCAGAAGTTGATCATTGTGGAATTGAAGTAGGAGGTTACTTCACAACTACCAGAAAACCTCGGGGTAGGGGAAGAGGAAGAGTTATCATCATCATCTCCTTGCTCTTGCTTCTTGTCGAAATTGTTCGTGAATATTGCAAAACGTCTTTCCCTCTCTTCACTGTTCAGGTAGCTGCGTTCAATCTCCGTCAGCGATCGCTCAAATTCCTCCGTAATGTTCACGGCCGTTGCTGTTGCTTGGGATATAGAAGCCACACAAGTCCCTACCAAAATCATGATGATGAATAACAGACGAGTGAAGAAGAAAGTCATTGCTAATTCAAATCATGACACTGTTTCACAACAAGTCTCAAACCCTTCTTATATAACCACTAGCCACCGCGTGGCCTTTCTGGCGAAGCTTTTTATTATTGTCCTTAATTTTATTTTTCTACAAGTCCGTTTTGATTTTGAAGCGAGAATTTAAAAAAATTAAACAATTTATCAGAGCCTAGTTTCGATCTAGGGACCTGTGGGTTATGGGCCCACCACGCTTCCGCTGCGCCACTCTGATTTGTTGATCATGTATTCTTAACCAAGATATAAGAAGACAAAAGAAGCAATACCATATGCCATACATGCAGTAAAAAATCTATTTATTTGCTACCTAAGTCATTAATTTCAGACCACATGCAAATATTTGTAGCAAACAAACCCATCTCATGGGGTTTTGTATTTTTGGAATTTAAAAAGTATAATAATTAGATTTGTAGCTTAAATAAGTAACTGGCTTAGTTGGATTCTAGTTATCGTGTTTTTTTTAATATAAAAGTCAGGATTTATTTATGGAAAAATAACGTGATGGGTTGTAGATAAGAAAAAATGAGATTCGAGAGAAAAGGCTAAATTTACTATTTATTTATGGAAATATGAGTGTCAAAACTGCATTAATTTTAAGGAGGAGTTACTAGCAATGCTCCTAATGAAATAGGCCAAAAGCTTGCTAGGAATAGAACCACGCAAATTTGAAGCAAGGAGTGCAACCTCATCAAAAAAACTAATGGAGAGAAACCACTCTTTTTGGAACTTGGTGAGTGTTAGTAAAAGTAGGGGTTTAATTGCTATAATTATTGAAAAATCATAATTTAATTCATGCCAATAAAAATCAAAATAAATCAAACATTAATATAAAGAGAAGTTTAGAAAAAACCAGAATATGGTTGAGTCTAGAACCTCGCTCTATTATTTTAAGACAAAATTGTCCCTCACTAACGCTTCAAAGTTCCAATGACAAACGTCACACTATTATACTCATAAAGACCCTAGTATGCAATGAATAAATTTCTAGAAGACTAGTTATCCTGGAATGGATTGAATGCCACATGATGTAGTGGGCTCTTTATTTATAGATGATGAAGAGCCATTTCTCAAAGTATGTGACTTAAATTGAAGAGGTAAACGATGTTTCCTTTCACTTAAAATATGCGTTGTTTCAAACTTGGATAGTCACATCTGTTTTAATATAATTTTCATTTGATAACATAAAGTTTAATTAATTTTCCAAGAAAGACAACTCAAACTTGTCATAACGTATCATCATCAAACAATGTGCTCATGATGCAAATTATCTAACCCTAAAAAAAACGAAATATGAGAAGAAGCCTACCATGCAGTTTTATGGCCCGAAGTTGATTGGCCTATGCTCGATGGGCCAAAGCCCAGCTCAATTAGTTGTGGAAGCTCGCTCGGCCAAGTCCACTCTAAGAATAGGTAGGACTTGGGCTAAGAATTTGAAATCCTGAGTCGGATGCGGGTCTAAACTCAAGCCAGTCCGCTTATAAATATATTTAAGAATTATGTAATATGCAAGAGTGGTTTCATGGGAGACACATTTGACTGTGTGAAACGAAATAAAGGACTCAATAGTGGAGCAAATTACGGCTACATCAATAAGCACGGAACATATGACAAATGAACATGTTTGGTAGATAACTGGTTATGAGAAAGTGCCTCCCATCGCAAAGGATCTAGCCAAGGTTGTGGTCTAGCAGGCCATCGTAGTTCTTACTTCAGTCAGTGTAGGATTTCAGGAATATCAATGAAATAAGTAGTGGGTGCTAGTTTGTCATGATATCAATGAAATAAGTTGTTGGATAAGTGAACTTGTTTGACTTGATGCCAATGACAGAAAATTCTCGTTATAAAAAGAAAGTTAAATGGGCTGGTGGTTTGGCCCGGTCTGGAGCTAGGTCCAAGAACAAAACGAGCATAGTTTGTTTCACTATGACCTTGGGTTTTGGACTGAGATGGGCTCAATATTTTTTTATAAGTGAGTGAGTAGAATAAGACACGATTAATTAAATGGGACGACACAACACAACCTGAATAATTTAGTGGCACAATTTTAAATAAGTCGGGTTGATATATCACGACCCATTTGATAGCTCTACGTTGGATAATTATGAAGGCTGGGATGAAACAATAACACACAACCAAAGATAATATTAGTCGTATATATTGTACAAGAAATCCGTTAATAAAGAATGGTTAATTTCACTTTATTGCCATTTTTTCCCCTTTCAAAATACAACTATTCATGTATTGCAGTTGCAAAATCATTTTGGAGCCAAAAATTGATGAAAAAGGACACTAATATATCAGAGCCTAGTTTCGATCTAGGGACCTGTGGGTTATGGGCCCACCACGCTTCCGCTGCGCCACTCTGATTTGTTGCTACTATTTTGTAATTTGATCTATATGAACCTTCTTTATTCTCAAGAGGCTTCCCAAATAACAAAAGCACATGTTAGGCCTACCACATATATTATTGTGTCATTAATTTCATATCACATATAATTTTTTTATAAATTTAGTTATATACCTAATCTTAGACATAGTCTTATAAAGAAACACTATACTATTTAAAAACACACTAAAAAAACCCAAAAATCTACAGCTATACATTTTTTAATTTAATTAATAAGACGAAATGCCTTTATTACTCTTTTAACATAAAATTGGAATTCTAATCTCTTTATCTTGCGTTGAAGCTAGAGCAGAACTCATTTCACGAGCTCTAGTCTCTCATCTTCATCTTCAACCCCAGTTTTCAGTTTTTGTTCTTCCATTTCTTGTTTTGAAATCAACTTTCTCTTTGGACTTTTTGGATTGTGCGGATGTCTATGTCTCCTCTCCATTGCTGGCTCTGACACTTTCTCAAGGGACCAAGCCTTAGCTTGCCAAATCGGATCATCTCGATCTCTCAAAGGTCATTCTCCTATACTTTCTTATTCATCTTTTTGTTTTTACTTGTAGATTTGTGGACGAAGGTATGAGATTGAGATTATGGTGGAATTTTACAGTGATATCAAAGGAATCTCGATCTCGATCTCGACAAGTCGTCGTCTCGGTGGAAACGACAGCCGAGGACCTTGCCGGTTGTTCCAGAGTACTGCACAATGCCAACAACTTGTCGTCTTCAATTGTGGAGGAAGATGGGGATTTAGCCACGTCGTCATCATCTCCGTTTGATTTGGACTTGAGATTTTTGATCTTTTGCTTCAATTATGTGTTTCTCTTCGAATTTTAATTAATTTGAAGAATGTATTTTAAGGTTTGATGATCAATTTATCCTTACTATTTAGGCTATGGATCTCATTTTTGTTTAACAATGTATTTCTATGACATAGTATTAACAAAATAGTTCTATGACAGAGTATTGACAATGTACTTCTATAACAGGGTATTAACATGTACTTCTACGATATAGACTACAAGATAGTTATATGAAATAGTATTAACAATGTACTTCTATGAAGAGCCCCTGCTTGGTTTTTGCGAATTTGTTTTTAATAAACTGTTTGGGTTTTTTTTTTTAAAATATGGGTTTGGCTTGTTTGGGGTGTTTTTTTTTTTTTTTTTTTGGGGGTTTTTTTTGTTGGTTTTTTTTTTTTTTTGGGGTTTTTTTTTTTTTTTTTTTTTTGGGAGTTTTTTGTGTTGGTTTTTTTTTTTTTAAAAGTTAGCAATCATATAATTTATAGGAACTTCAACACTAATTTCTTATGCAGTAAATGGTTTTTGGTGGTGTTTTTAAAGTGCATTCCATGTGGGGTTTTTTATATATATAATTTCAGCATCTATTTTGGGTATAATAATGAAGCTCCCTAATATTTTTAGAGAGAAAAAAAAAAAGGCCCATCTCAGTGCCTCACTCACTATTTTATAATAACATATCATAAATAAACACATCGATTTGTTTTGGGGGAGCTTTTATAATGAGGGATAAAAGTGAGGAGTTATAATGAGGGTGTTCAATTCAGCAGTCCAATAATAATTTTGCACTAGATCGGCCGACTATTAAGGAACCACTCATTATAAGCCCTCATTTTTACCCCTCAATATAGCCTCCACGTGGTTTGGGTTGGGTTGCACCAACAATTATACTTCAATGAGATGGTTAGTTAGTTTAGTTACTAAATGGGACCATATATAGAGAAACTTGTCCAACATGTCCATGAATTGATGACAACCTTTGATGTGTTGGTTTAAGGTTTTAGGAGGAACAACAAAACCAAACCTATTCACCCAACAACTCTTTGCTACTAATTAAATCCATGGAATAACAAGTGGGCAGTGGGGCTAAAATCATCAAGTCCTTCTTAATGGAGGAGTTCTTGGATGGATCGGATAGGATCAAAATACATAAAAAATTTAACTTTTGTGAGGGTGATCAAATACAATGATCCGACCGACGAACATAAGAATTTCTCTTCAATCATATCATTAAAAATTGCATACTTACCAACCTTTTAGGAGGAACAACAAAACCAAACTTATTCACCCAACAACTCATTGGCTACTAAATAAATCCATGGAATAACAAGTGCGCAGTGGGGCTAAAATTATCAAGTCCCTCTTAATGGAGAAGTTCTTGGATGGATTGGATAGGAACAAAATACATAGAGAATTAGACTTTTGTGAGGGTGATCAGATACAATGATCCGACTGACGGACACAATAATTTCTCCTCAATCAGATCATTAAAAACTGCATACTTACTAACCTCTGCTCCTTATGGACCTCATTAGAGCTTTTGTCAGTCATTCAGGTTTTGTACTGATAGCTAAAGCCTAAAATTGATGTCAAAGTTCAGTCAATATTGCACATATAGTTTGGATAGATAAATCCAAAATCTCTTAAGATATGAATTGGGATAAAACTGTAAAATATGGGTACTTTCCAAATTAAACAAATAGTATTGACTTATAAACTCCACCTTCTCCACACACATCATCATTATTTTTACCAAAAGTTTGTTCAGTAATTTCTTAAAGCAGGTCATTGCTCAAAGGGGGTTTTCAACTCTTGATGACTTTTCAAAGACATTGATTAATTGAGCTCAGTTTGTCATTTAAGCTAATTCCCTGAAGCTCAAGGTTAAAGAGTCTCCCAATGCTTACTAAAGAAGAAGTATTCTAATATTCCCTATCCAAAGTATATGAGGCCAGATTTGGCAAATCAAACTGCTAAACACATAACAGACAGCTGCATCTTATCTGTTTTTTTTTTTTTTTTTGGGGTTGCATGCTCCTCTACCATGTATTAATTAATTCCATTTTCACCTCCAATTCAAACATGCAATTCCAACTCTACAACAAAGAATGCAACCCAAATCAAAGCACACAGGAGGAGGAGGGCAGGTTCTTCTAGCTAGCTAATTATGCAAACTTCCAAATTGTAACATGCCCTTTGACAATTTGGATGCCCTCTTGAAAGAGAAGTTCTTGACACCTGTCACAATCTGGTGGATTCATCCACTGGTGGGCACCACACTAGGAACCTAGCTCCATGCTAGCTTTAAAAATAGAACCATAATAAAGCATTTTGCACCAACCAGCATGGACAAGAATGGCCATCGTGTTGAGAATTTATTTGTGATGAGAGCCCTTGAAAAGGAAAAGGCAGTTCGTAGTTGGTTGAGGGGCTAGACATGCATTGGACAAGAGTGGGTGTGTTTCCATAAGAAACAAAAGGAGAAGACAGATCAGGGGCCAAAAAAAAAAAAAAGAGTGGACATATAATTTCAACTCTGTCAAAAGTAGCAATATATATGATTGGCCATATTCTTTGTCAATTTTAAATACATATTTTTAAGTTATTTATCTTATAATTATGTTTAATGAAGTTAATATAATGCTATTCATGTTCAACTTTCTAAGGAATAAAAAATAAAGAAATTTAAGTCCACACCAGGCCCCAGGAGGGGAGAGAGAGAATGATGCTTTTGTACAGTATTTCTTCTTTAATTTCTCAGATTAATTTTGCTTAGGGAATAGGGGCATTGGACAATGGTGGTTGATGCCTTGGTGGATATATATTTCTAATTAGGTGTAAAGAGTTTAATAATAATGGCATGGGACCTATGCATACATACATAACAGTAACTGGTGTGCTGAGATAAAGAACCAAACATAATGGAAGAATTGACTTTTATCAACCAATGTTTTAAAGATTGGAACTTCTCCAATCAAATCAAATTGCTTTTTTTTTTTTTTTTTTTTTTTACTATTTATTGTTCATGTCGTTCAACTTTAGCCATGTGCTCAAACACAAAGGAAAATTGTGGTGGTTGGGTTTAGATTGGATTGAAGTGGAGTTCATAAATGTTTGTATAAGTTTGATCCCTCTCGATGAAATTTGTAAAATATAATATGTTAGATTGTTGTCTTAAGTTCTTTAAAGAGTGATTGTCGTCTACCTTTATAGTTAGATTGTTTCCTCCCTCTCTTTTTCCATCATTTTTAGAGACAAAAGGTTTTTTTTTATTTGTCTTCATTTTGTTATGATTTTATCTCCATTCTCTGTGTAGTTTTCATTTTTTCCTTTTATGAGAGCTTTTCACCCATTCTTTGTGCGAGCTATCATTTCTCATTTGTGAAAGTTTTATTTGTATTGTTATGGCTTGGTTTTTTCAAGTTTTATATCTTTTTGATTATTCTGAACTTGAAATCTTAGTTTGGATACCTATGTAAGAATTTCTTCGATCCTGCGTGATCGTTAAAGGATGCGCACCATATTGTTTTAATTTTGATGTTAGACCCCTTCGTTATTGTAATAGCCCTGTGATTAATTTGTATTGACCCTCTGTGGCTAATTTGTATCGACCCTTTTGTGGCTAGTGACTTTTTTGGCTTAATTATAAATGTAATCCTAAAATTTCTCAACAAGAAAAACCGTCTAATTTAATTAGAATAGTTCAACTCCAAGTCACCAAACATGAGATTTTTTGGGTAACAAAAATAATATAGAGATTACCATGTAAACAAAATGTTATGCCTTATTTGGATAGGATAAAGTGGTTAACAGCCAAGAATTTTTTTTATTAAAAAAAGCAGAGATGAAAACAATGAGTTACCACAGTAAATATTATCTCTCAGTCATTGTAAAACAAAAAGTAAAATTATCTCTGGTCAGATTTTGAAAACCAAAAGAAGTCAACGAAATGCCGTCATGCAATCGAACGGGCTCTATGCACCCACGCAAAACTCGGAGCCCGAATCGGCGGCGAAGATTAACCGAAGACCTCCTCTCGTCGTCGTTATCGTTAAACGACAGCACGGGGACGAGAGCACGTTGGTTCATATTTATCAAGAAATTAATTTCGCGCGGGTCCACATATCAGACGTAGACGAGACCATGTCACTATCGCAACCCTACCCACAATAACGGCGTTCCGTCCACCTAGTCACGAACTCATGATCCCCTCGCCCCACTACGATGACCTTATAATTACTCGCCTTCACTTCCCCCAACCTCCTCTTCATCCCCGGAGCCCTTCGAAACTGCCAACTTTTTTTTGGTGAAAAACTGCCAACTTAAGTAGTGGTTTTTCTGTGCTTATTATTTTCTTTTGTTTAAAGAAAGAAAGAAAGAAAAACCAAAAAAAAAAAAAAAAAGAGTAAATTTTTGGTCCATTGGGTAACAGTTTTTTTTGTTTGCAGGTTCATTCATCTTGGATGCTATTTTAGCAGCACCATCAGTTGAGAGTCATCATAACATGTACGTTTCCACTGCTCTCTCTCTCTCTCTCTCTCTCTCTCTGCACTCATACTCTGCTGTTCCACATTTTACTTTGTGTTCTGAAAGAGTGAATTTTTTAAATTGTTTTGGTCCCAGAGGCAGAGTTGTACTAATTTTGGACTTGGGTTCACTCTAAAACCAGAGGACTTTGTTGGGTCAGATCTGAAACTGAAAGGAAATGGTGGGCAGGTGAGTTGAGCTTCTGGGTACTTTGGTTTTCATTTTTACTTGTTTGTTGAAATGTTTCCCCATGTATAAATTTTGGGTTTCTGCTATTTTTGAAATTTGAACGGCAAAGTTGAAAGAAACAAAGTTACAAAGAACAAAGAACAAAAAGAAAGCTCGGTTTCTGGTGGTACATACTTTGCTTTTGCATAATAAAATAAGTTCCTTTTTGACTATAAACACGATATTCAAAGCCTGCAAGTTTCATTTTTTTATAGCAGAAGTTTCTCAGAGTCACCTCTACTTTTTCTCGACAGTAGTCTTGGAATCTGAATTTTTTTTTTCCCCTTTCTCTTTTCGCTTTACATTCTGTCTTTTGTATTTTTAACTTAATTTTTTTCTATATTTGTTTGTGCATCTTCAGCCAATACCCTGAAGGGCCAGAACCATGAAAAGAGAGAAACTTTGCAGAAACAGCTCGTTCTCTGCTTGAAGTGTTTGGGATTTTGGTAAGGGGAGAGTGAGGGAAATGGCAGGTCGTTGCATTCTGTATTGGATTCTCTTGCTGGGTTTGGTTTTCTTGCAAGGAAATGCAGACCCAGTTGAAGATAAGCAAGCATTGCTGGATTTTGTGAACAATCTCCCTCACTCCCGCTCTCTTAATTGGAATGTGAGCTCTCCTGTGTGTGACCACTGGACTGGAGTGACTTGTAGTGAGGATAAGTCTTATGTGATAGCCGTCCGATTGCCCGGCATTGGATTTACTGGCCAGATACCACCTTACACGCTTAGCCGCCTCTCAAGGCTGCAAATTTTGAGTCTTAGATCCAATGTGATAAGTGGGCAGTTCCCTTCTGATTTCTTCAACCTCAAAAACTTGTCTTTCCTCTATCTCCAATTCAATAACTTCTCTGGGCCATTGCCCGGGGACTTCTCAGTTTGGAAGAACCTCACCATTGTCAATTTGTCTAACAATCACTTCAATGGGAGCATTCCTTATTCGCTTTCCAATTTGACTCAGCTTTCAGGCTTGAATCTTGCTAACAATTCACTTTCTGGTGAAATTCCTGATCTCGAATCAAGCAAGTTGCAGCAGCTAAACTTATCTAACAACAATCTCACTGGTAGTGTTCCCAAATCACTTCAGAGGTTTCCAAGGTCAGTTTTCGTGGGTAACAACATTTCTTTTGCTAGTTTCCCACCCAGTCTTCCTCCTGTTCTTCCACCCGCCCCTAAACCATATCTGAAATCTAAGAATAGTGGGAAGCTTGGTGAGACAGCATTATTAGGAATTATAGTTGCTGGTGCTGTTTTGGGCATTGTGGCGTTTGCATTTCTAATACTTGTTTTCTGCTCAAGAAGAAAAAAGGAAGATGGGCTTTCTGGAAAGTTGCACAAGGGAGAAATGTCACCGGAAAAAGTGATCTCAAGGAGTCAAGATGCGAATAATAAACTGGTGTTCTTTGAGGGCTGTCATTACGCATTTGATCTGGAGGATTTATTGAGGGCTTCCGCCGAGGTACTTGGAAAGGGAACATTTGGTACAGCATATAAGGCAATATTAGAAGATGCAACCGTTGTGGTGGTGAAGAGGTTGAAGGATGTAAATGTTGGGAAGCGGGACTTCGAGCAACATATGGAGATTGCTGGCAACATTAGGCATGAAAATGTGGTTGAACTGAAGGCATATTATTATTCCAAAGATGAGAAGCTAATGGTATATGATTACTACAGCCAGGGGAGCGTCTCTGCTTTGTTACATGGTATGTTACTGTCTTCCATCCTTGATGAATGTTAACTTGATAACTTTAATTTTCTCTGTTTTGAAAATTGTTGAATTCAAATAGCTGATTGTTGTACTTCTTATTTTGGAAGTTAATAACCTTTAGATCCTGTACATCATAGAAGTTGTCTGTTTATAAGTAGTCATCTGTAGCTAAAATTGTTTGAGTATTTTTCACTTCAATCATTCTGAATAATTTGTTGGAACTGTACTACTAAGTATATGATAGATGCCAGTTGGAACATGTCTGAAACATAGTGGAATACTATTGGTCTATACTGCAGTCCTTGTTTTGAGATGATCCTGGGCCTGTCAAAATGTTAGAATGTGTCTTGGCCTGCTGGATGTAGTATATGGTCATCACTTGTGAAAATATTATGCTGCTAAATTATGTAGATTTGGATAATTCACTTTACTCCGTGATGTATAGCAATTCTACTATGCCAATAGCTTAGAACTGTTTAATACTTGAATTTTGAGTTTTAGAAGCTACCGTTGATTCTGACAATAAAACTATAGTGACTGCTTATGAGTCCAGTGGTAATTGATGCATTAAAATGCTAACTAGTAAGTACCCACAGGCTTTGGCATCCATACTAATGTTATGTTGCCTTGTACCTTAGTGAGGCTTTCTTTGACCAAGTCCATGCTATCAATATAAAATGATCTGTTGAACATTAGGGAGTAAATATATTCTAAGAAAAGCCTATTAGTGTAAATGATATTTATCTGGTTCTTCCATTCTAGGGTCGTTTGTTTGTAAACCATGTGGTGCATCGGACATATTAATTCCTCCAAGGGTGGAGATATGTGAATGTTGTATTTAGGGAATCATGTGTCATTCTTTGGTGCACTGTTAGTTTTATCTTGATCAAGGAACCTTCAAACCCCCAAAGTTTCTGTGTTCCAAAAACATCTGTTGTAAGCTGGTAACTGGGAGGAACTCAGTTTTATTGAAGAAAATCTATTGTATTTGTCGGCTTTGACATCTTTCAGAATGAGAATATTTGGTTGGTGTCATGCTTGGGAATTCTAACTCCATTGTGCATGTTGCACTGCCACCCACTGTAGAGATTAATATATATCTTGCATTGCTCTTTCGATTTTCAGGTAGAAGAGGGGAGGACAGAATCCCTTTAGATTGGGATACCCGACTGAGAATAGCTATTGGAGCAGCAAAAGGAATTGCTCATATACATACACAGAATGGTGGGAAGCTTGTCCACGGAAACGTCAAAGCCTCAAACATCTTTGTAAACTCGCAACAGTATGGTTGTGTTTCTGATGTTGGCCTGGCAACTATAATGAGCTCACTAGCTCCCCCAATCTCCCGTGCTGCTGGTTACCGAGCCCCAGAAGTGACAGACACCAGGAAAGCAGGACAAGCAGCTGATGTCTACAGTTTTGGGGTTGTGTTACTGGAACTCCTCACTGGAAAATCCCCTATCCATACTACTGCTGGTGATGAGATTGTCCACTTGGTCAGATGGGTGCATTCAGTTGTCCGAGAGGAGTGGACAGCAGAAGTGTTTGACATAGAGCTCATGAGGTATCTAAATATAGAGGAAGAAATGGTAGAGATGTTACAGATTGCCATGTCTTGTGTGGTAAGGATGCCTGATCAAAGACCTAAAATGCTGGATGTAGTGAAGATGATAGAAAGTGTCCGCCGGAATGATAATGAGAATCGACCATCATCTGGAAACAGATCTGAAAGCTCAACACCACCACCGGTGGTTGGAACAGAACATCCAACATCACAATGAGTGAACCATTTGCCATTTTTCCCATCTAGTGATGTATTTCATTTCATCTCAAAATGTCGTTTTGCTCCAGTGAATGAACAAATTTGTTTCAATTTTTTTTTCTACTTTATCCCATTTAGGAAGAGCTAGGTCATGTATCAATGTAGTAGTGACTTTAATTCTGGAAATGGCATTTCAAATATGCTTTTTGGTACTCTTAATCCTAGTACGTACACACACACACACACACACACATACACATATTAAAAGGAGAATGCAGAAAAAACATTTTGCTTGAATGGATGCATAGGCGTAATCATGCCAAAGATGCTATACAGATCTTTGTGTCATATAAAAACTGACTGCAAGAATAACTTCCTGCTGGGCTCTGCATGGGTCCTACTATGTTTTCCTGAACGATGCAATGCAACTGTTTGTACAACAGTTTTTCACAAAATCTGTCTTGCAAATTGATTATTACATTCTTCCACTCCAGTTAATATATAGAAGGGTGTTTTTGTAAAAACTCTTTTTTTTTTTAAATTTCAATCATCAACTATTTTTCCCGAAGCAACTCACAGCAGAGGGCATCATGATCTACAAGCATAGATTGGACATTTATTTGGTCATATTCTGCTATTGCACGTGAAGTATTCAGAGCTGTTTGATGCTGGCAAAAGCTCATCAGAATGTGAAAGATACTGGAGGGAAAAATCAAACACACCAACAAAATCTAAAAGTTGTGTTTGCTTTTGCTCAACCTTTCAAAGCGGTGTCCATAATCTACATGTAAAAAGATACATTTCGAATTAGGGTTTTGCTCAAGTTTAGTCCAAAAGAAAGAAAGAGGAAAAACTGCTTCGTTTCCTGGTTTCCATTTACAAAATACCTTTTTGGGAAAATTTATACGAGGGTATGTTTGGATAGAAACAATGAAATTTGATTTTGATAATATGGTTACATTGGTTAGAAAAATGTTGAAAGAGATGCTGGATACAATGTGTTTGAAAATACAGGGTACAGTGTTGTACTATTATGACCTTGAAAATGATTAGGTACAATGGATAGATTTCTTTCTATTCTTTTTCATGCTAAGATTATGATGAAGAAAATCTAACTATAAAGATCAGTTTTCATAGATTTGAAATCTAACATTCCAAATGGAGTCTTGCAAGAATATTGGGTATAAACAAAAATATATATATAGGTGGTTTTGATGTGGTCAAATTTTGAGTTGTAATCGAGATTTGTCGTGTCGCTGTCATGAATAACTTACCTAAGATACATCTGCAATATGCTATTTCTTAATTAATTTCTAGGATGCATCTTATCCTTTGACTAGAATTTAAGACTAGAGTTTACTTATTTTTAAGACTAAATCAATTGCCTAGCCGTCCTTATTGAAAAAATATCTTGGTTTTCTAACGTTGTTCTCATATTGGCCTTAACACGTAGAAAAATTTAGGTGATCATTTTAACTATATTATAATATGAGTGTTACACATTAAATTATTAATCTTTAGTAGCAAAATAATCTACATTAAATTATTAATCTTTAGTAACAAAATAATCTTACATTTTAACTATGATTACCTAAAACTTAATACAATAACACATCTTTTTAACAAATGATAAGATTTTTTATTTTCTTTTGTCACAAAGGACAAGATTCGAACATATAAATCACTCCTTTTTCTTTTTTTTCTCCATTGTACTCAGTCTCAGGCCCCTTTCTCAGTCCCCTTTCTTTCATAAGAACTCTGTGGTTCGCGAATTTGTGTGGTTGTTCAAGAGCTACCACCTTCTCAATAAACGCAAAAGATTAAAAAGATAAAAAAAACATAAAATCTAAATCAATAATAAAGCAGGAGGGTCTCTCAGGTCAAGGTACTCTCTCTACCATCCCTCTGCTACTTGCACACAAGGAATGAAATTTGGGTTTTCTTTGTTGTGTGTGTGAATTTGTTAGATTGAGGTCAGGTTCATCTAGGGTTTGGTTTGTTTGTTTGTTTGTTTGTTTGCTTGTGAAGGTGATGGCGTCGAAACGGATCCTGAAGGAGCTGAAGGACCTCCAGAAAGATCCTCCTACTTCATGCAGCGCTGGTATTTTCCATTTCAAACCCGATCCGTTTCCTCTTCTTTTTCATTTTAATTCTGCTAAAGTTTTAATTTTGTGTTTTTGGGTAAGAATTATGTAGCAGTTTGTTGATTGCATACTCTTTGGAGATTTTGACTCATGTGTACCATCTGATTTGAGCTTCCATCTATGCATATTTTTAGAAATTTGCTATTTTTATTAACCCAGACCAGGAAATCTGTGCAAAGCTGCAGTCTTGCACCGATTTGGTGGTCATATCAATTTTGTATTATTGTTCTCATGCCAAATTATGTGTTTGTCTCATAATCGAATGGAATTGCGTTATTTTTAAGTTGGTCAACCGAATTTCAACGTTAAGAACCATCAGAGAATATGAAAGAAAATAGTGAATGATGTGGGATACTGAAGGTGCTATTGTGTGGCAGTTGTTACCCATACCCATTTCCCTGCCCTAATTAAATGGCAATAGACCTCCTACCTAGCATCTTGGGTATAAATGGGTAATTACCCTTTTAACTCCTTGTTAAATGGTCTGGGTTGTGGGGACCTGTAATGACCCATTGAATCCTCAGAAAGAAAAGCTTTTAATTTTACACTGGTTATCTGTATATCCGCAGCGGTTGGGACTGATTTTTGTCATTCTGAGTCTTTTATGATTTTGAGGGCTGAGTAGACATTAAAGGTGTTAAAGAGGGAGGTTGGGGCAGTCAAAGAAGTTGGCTGGTAATTTGAAGTTGGAACAATGTTATCCTTTGGTACAGCTGTTGTATTGTTTTAAATGTTGTGACCAGGGTGGGTGGTTGATTATTGTTTCGGGGTTTCTTTCTTGACGCTTACGGCAATAGATTCTCTGAAATAGCATTGCTCTGCAAGTGAAGGATCAAATGCTTTCTCTTTCTTCTTTTAATATATTTCCCCTTTGGAATACTGTCTACACCATTGAGTGAATTATAGTATCTTGTGCTGGATATTTCCATAATGGACCTACACCTACCCACCCTTAAAATTGGATTAGATGGCTATGGGCATTAGATATAAGTGGCAAATAAATGGTAGTCTAAACTGACTCATTTGCCACCTTTGGTGCCATAAATGCTATATTATTTTGCTGGTAATTTGAAGATTACCATTACTTTGTCTTATATATGGATATCTTGTAAATGATACAAATTTGTTTTTGAGTTTTGAATAACTCAACTGTGGTTGGAATCTTTTTGTCATCATCATCACACCACCCTGGATTTTAATACCTTTAATGGCTGCAAAAGTTCATTCTTTTGGGAGAATATGAAGTCACTCATTTATAGCCACAACAGTCTATCCACTGTGCGATAAATCTATGTGCAAGTACAACCCTTCAAATCTTTTAGGCAATTGGAACTCTTTTGTATCAAATTTTCTCAATGAATTGATAACTTTTGGCTGCTTTTTCTTTTCAGGAGAAATTTACACAATGAAACTATTCTGATAAATGACTCTAACGTCATTCTTCTGAGCAGATATTCAATTTGATTGTCTTTGCTCTAATGTATATCTTTAGGCCCAGTTGCAGAAGACATGTTCCACTGGCAGGCGACAATAATGGGTCCTGCTGACAGTCCATATGCAGGTGGAGTGTTCCTTGTGACTATACATTTTCCTCCAGACTATCCTTTTAAACCACCCAAGGTACTTGCTAGCTTTCTATAAATTTCACATCAAATTTGTCTTCTGTTGCATGGAAGTTCCTTTCTTTATTGCTTTCATGAGAGAGAGAGAGAGAGAGAGAGAGAGAGAGAGAGAGAATCTGGCGCATATTGTCTTGTGGCCTATCACACCTATGTTTGATGTCAAATGTATTTTCAGACTCCCGAGGGAGTTGATAACATTGTGATAGTAGAAATTAACAATTATAACTTATTTAGCAATGAAGTAAGACGGTGTTCCTGAAGTTTAAAAAATCCCAAATTTTAACAAATGACTAGGAAATACTGAACTTTTGCACATTGTTTGTTTTCAAAATCTTTTCCATGTAAAGTTGGCACGACAAACTGAAGATTTTGTTGTCCAACTTTTCATTCATTCATTACTTTTTGCTACTTATATGATGTTTTGTGCAGGTTGCATTCAGGACAAAGGTGTTTCACCCTAATATCAACAGCAATGGTAGCATTTGCCTTGACATTTTGAAAGAACAGTGGAGCCCTGCCCTGACCATATCCAAGGTAAATGCTTAATTCCTAAACAGGAATAGTTTTTTCATAAATTTTGAGCGTTCTGTGGAAACTTGTTTCCCCTATTGGGATTCTACATATGATTCCATTTTATGTCTATAATTTCGGATGCGTCAATACAGGAAATGCTAATCAATAGGACTGAAACTCAGGTTTTTACATACAGAAATTGCAATTGTATTACTCTGAAGTTTTACAAGTTAAGATTTGCACGAAAGATAAAGAGCTCTATCCAATGAAACAGCATACAATCCTTTATTGACCAAAATGATTTGCTTTTCTTTATAAAAAGAAAAATAACAAATTATCATCTGTGCTAATTGTTGTGTCGAAGAAATTTTCCATGGTGAAGTACTGATTGATCTTGTGGATCCCATTGCATTTTGCAACTGTTATGATGCTGTATACTGAAAATGAAACATGGTTGAATCAATTGTGCCATATTCATTGAACCTGGTTTGACAAGGAAATTTTGGTGCTGTTATAGTTGATGCAATGTTATGTTATTTGTGTTACTGAAGCATGGGAACTGGTTTTACTTTATTTTCAGGTATTGCTTTCAATCTGTTCACTGTTGACAGACCCCAACCCTGATGACCCTTTGGTTCCGGAGATTGCTCATATGTACAAGACTGACAAGAACAAGTACGAGACCACCGCAAGGAGCTGGACTCAGAAGTATGCTATGGGTTAGTGTGAGCTGCTAGGACACTGAGAGGAGGGCTTTCTGTCCCTGTGGCATTGATCTGGTGATCAGATGTATGAATGGTGTGATCTGTTCTTCACATAAGTGGACCAATAGGGAGAGTATTCTGCCCTCGGAACGCAATTGCTTTGAATTGTTAATTTGTTATGCAATATTTATATATAAGACATTGAAACCCATCTTATCTCTCTCTCGTGTC